CTCTCAAGGACAGAATGGGAGAAGTCATCTCAGTTATGGTGGTAAGGGAGCTCAAATTGTTTACAAACAATAATTTTTATATATTATTACATAATGGGTACGTAGTTCCAAAAATCAAAAGAATTTAATTTCAATTTATTGTTTGTTAGAACAATTGTACTCTGTTTCTTTTAATACAAATGAAGCGTTAATTTTAAGAAATGGTGTGCATATTTGTTCTGCTAAAGTTGAAAACAATTTGTATGTGCTAATACCAACCATTACAAATCAATTTTAGATACTAAGTTGTATAAAAGTGTTAAAACTCAAACTAAAAGGCAAAAACTTTCTTCTTAAGAAAATACCTATCTTTGGCACTTAAGATTGAGTCACATTAATCTCAATATAATTGGGAGATTGGTTAAGAGTGGCCTTCTAAGCAAGTTAGAAGACGACTCGTTACCATCATGTGAATCTTGTCTTGAAGGTAAGATGGCTAAAAGACCTTTTACTGTAAAATGTTACCGAGCCAAAGAGCTCTTAGAACTTATACATTTGAACCTTTGTGGTCCAATGAATGTTAAAACTCGATGACAGTATGAATAGTTCACCTCTTTTTATAGATGATAATTCAAGGTACGATTATCTATACCTAATGCAACACAAGTTCAAATCCCTTCAGAAGTTCAAGGAGTACATGACCGAAATCAAAAATCTACTAGTTAAAACTATTAAAACATTTCGATCAGATCGGGTGGAGAGCATATGGACTTGAGATTCTCATACTATACGATAGAACATGGAATCACATTCCAACTCTCAGTCCTTAGTACACCTCAATAGAATGGTGTATTAGAAAGGAGAAACAAAACCCTGTTAGTCATGGTTTGGTCAATGATGAGCTATGCTCACTTGCCTAGGTCATTTTGGGGTTACGTAGTAGAGACTGTCGTATACATTTTGAGCGTAGTTCCATCGAAGAGCGTTTCTGAAACACCCTTTGAGTTCCGGAAGGGTCGGAAAGCTAGTTTATGTCACTTTCGCATTTGGGGGTGCCTGGCACAAATGCTTTTGACTAACCCTAAAAAACTAAAGCCTCGTTCAAGTTAAGAAAATAGAGTGTTTGTACCGACGAATGCCACTTTCTTTGAAGAAGACCACATTCGAGATCATAAACCATGAAGCAAAGTAGTGATAAGCGAGATCTACGAAAAGGCTAAAAACACGTAAACAATAGTTATTGATCCAGCTGGCACATGAACAAAAATTGTTGATGAATCCAGTGCATCACGTCAGTCACGTCCACCTCAATAATTGATGGTGTCTCGACGTAGTGGGAGGGTTGTGTCACAACCTGACCACTTCATGGGTTTAACTGAAACTCAAGTAGTCATACCAGATGACGACGTCGTGAATCCATTGACCTGCAAATTGGCAATGAAAGATATTGACAAGGACAAATGGATTAGAGTCGTGAACTTGGAAAATGGAGTCTATGTACTTCAATTCCGTTTGGAAACTTGTAGATCAACCCGAAGGGATAAAATCTATAGGGTGCAAATGGATCTATAAGAGAGAACGAAATGCTGAAGGAAAGGTACAAACCTATAAGGTGAGGATTATGGCAAAATGCTACACACAAAGGGAAGGGCGGACTACGAAGAAACCTTATTCCCGATAACTATGTGTTGCGTCCACACAACCGTGCTGACAACACGTGCAAGTATACAAGAAATTGCCGATTGTAGTACGAAACAAGGTCGAATCCACATGGACTTTGGATAATATTTTAAACGATGTTTGCAGATACCAAATGTGTAAAAACAAAGAAATATGAGTGTTGTGTCGTAACTAAATGTAACGCCCCAGGCCCAGGATTCGGAATCCGGTTTCGGCACCTCTCTGCCCCGGCATTCCCCTGCGACCTGGCTGCGCCACCGTCAAGTTCTAAGCCACTTAGACGAGCATAGACTGCCCCTACGGACCAACACGAGTCCTTCCAGCATGCTTTGTCCTCACTCACATGCTTCCTATTAAAGCAACTAGGAGGTCACCCAACGTAAGATTGCTCCAAGCCAAGCACGCTTAACTTTGAAGTTCTTACGATTGAGCCACCGAAAAGGAAGGTGCACCTTGTT